GTCCTATCTTATCAGGGGAGTTACGGTCTGCCGTTTGAGGTCAGTTCTGTTTTCATACAATCGCTTGATAAAATGCACCTGTTTGCAAGCCCGTCTGGGACACCAGCTCTCCATCTCATACCAGTCTGTCAGAAATACACACTGCAGAAGTCTGGGGTGGTGGTGGTGGTGGGGGGGGGGGGGGGTTGGGGGCCCCCATTTTCCCTAGAATCACCTTTGTGGTGTAAGGGGGTCTTAGTGCTTTCAGGATGTGTGCCATTTGATAATGCACTGACGGTCTTCATAGACTGATCACACCTGTTTACATGCATGCATGAGCCTTGAAGGGTACACAGAAATTTTTCGAGACCCTGAACTTTAATGCCTTGTTACTACACAAAAAAGCAGGCGTAGAGAAAAGAAAGAGCAAGACATTTATGGTAACACCCCCCTCAAAATTTGTGTATGTAGTTGATTTTTAAGACACACAGGTTACAACCCTGCTTGCTGTTAGCTTTACATTACACAGCTCACCATGTCATCTACTCATCATGTAAATCGCTGCTAAAACTTTATTTAAAACTTATTACCAGGCAATAAAATCCTGCGGACTGGACAGCTCCAGGAGTGCTGGGTTTTTAAAATCTCCTCTTCATGGATTTGATGCTCGTTTGATCGTTTAGTCTAACCTGCCGTTCAGATCCGATTCATTTACACTCGCTGATAAGTCATCTCGCATTTTAGACGCCTCTCTCCCTGGCGTGCTCTTAGACCAAGATGCTAAGATGCAAGTTGAGACTTTATCGTACTGCTCGAACCAAATACCCAAACAGTGCAAAAAAGTACACATTTCGTCAATTCCTCTTCATCAAAAAAACATTCACGGGGCGTTTTTCAGAGCAGGAGGAAAGCATTACAGGAAACCGATAACGTAACTACGGAGAATGGGAAACATGTCACGGAAGAGTAATGTCTACTGGCAGTAATTACAGTAACGTAATAAAAGAAAATTTAGTATAAATGATAATAGCAGAGAACCACTGTTGATATTAAGAGTAGAATTGCTATGTAACATTGGAGCGACGGCCTCCAGATCAGCTGAAGCATTTAAACTCAGGTGAGACGCCATCTGGGGGCCCGTCGTCACATCCTACCTCCGAGAATACATTAGTCCTCTTTGAGCCAATCTGAAGCAGCTAGGTCAGAAAATCCTCCCAAGGACGCAACCTTGAGCGTCCCAGGCGAGTCAGGCACAAGGGCACCCTGGGGGCGGGGCCACCAGCACCGACCTCATTGGTGGAGAGGGACCAGTTGGGCGGGTCTGGCTATGACTGGCAGGTTTCTGAGGCAGGCACCTGGCACAAGGGACTGGGTGTAGCCTCCTTACTGGTCCCTGCTGCCGTAGGCCTTATTGGGGGACCCCTCTCTGGCATTCTGGGGGTCTCATCCAGAATATTACGCTTTAAGTGCAGATGCTCGCAAGCTAACTGCTAGTGAACATTTGTTATGCTAATGTAGGATTTTTCTAATTTAATCATTCGTCATTTTCCATGCGGATTTGTTTCACGCAAACAGAATCTTATCTGTCGAAATTTTTCATTGATGCGTGGTGATGTTTCGCTTTTAAAGAGTGTCGGCGCGGATTCCGCGGCACCCTCCGGCTGGCGTTTTTAGCCACACGGCTGTTCTCTGCTTGCTAATGGAGATGCTGCAGTGTTTTCTGACACCAAAAAAATAATCCCGTCAGACCGTGACAGACCTTGAGCGCCAAACTAAAGTTCAATCCGTGGTTAGCGGGACAGATTTCCAGCGAGCATCGTGAGTGTGACTCTCCAGCCTTAAATCTAAGAGTTTAACCGTCTCTTCCGCCCCAAGACAACTTCTATCTCACGGCCAATAGCGAGCGCTTGCATAACCGTGGACTCTGAGTGCTATTTTCGCCCCCAGGCTGGCATCACGGGCCTCGCAAAGAGGTAAATAAACTCAGCTCCGAGAAGCAGGAGCCCGGCTTTTTTCCCTCAACGCTGACCTTTCACCTTTGAACCCTGCGGTTTCAGCTGAAGCAACGGCGAACAGGAAGAGCAAAGTACTGTGGAGAGTGCAAACAGGGACAGAGAAAGGTGGAACAGCACACTGTAACCTGACCTTTGGACATGTGCTCTGGGTGGCAGCTCTGGAGGTATGGATTACTGATTAACGTGTCAAACGCGGGTTTGTTTAAGCCATGGGCACTTGATGGCTATAAGAAAGGTTCTGACACTATGACACTATGCAAAAATACATCAAAAGGCACAATATTCAGGCACAAAATGTATGGGTCCTTCTGCTGCTGTTCTAGAGCATATATAATATTTTACAGGAACTAACAGTCTCCCTGAGCACGTATCCAGGTAAACTCTTCTACTGTCACGTGCATATTTGCAGATATGAGGCGTTAGCCATTAGCTCGTTAGCTCGTTAGCCATTAGCCTAGCCACACCTGGTTTGCAGATGCAGACGGTGTCTGAATTCGAGGCCCACGCACAAATGGGACCCCCGCTCACGGCTTAACCGAGGTAATCTCGGCGGCTGGGTAATCTTGATTGATGCATCAGCGGCCGATAGACATTACCCTGCTTTATCTTTCGCCGATAAGGCGC